ATTCACTAAAGAATTCTATTGCTTTTGCTTTCAAATTAGGCATTCTATAGATTGGAGCCATAATATGGAAGAAATCAGTATTAATTGTGTTTGATAATAACCAGAGCTAAGCCCAACAAGTTTGGGTTGAACCTAGCCTGGCCTAGACTCACATAATTTAAGCCCAATATGTTTCGGCTGGACAGCAACATTACATTAACAATATAGAATGCCTCTCCATGACCATGCCCATGATACTTCTGGACCTCTCTCATGTTGAGTGCCCTTTCAAAATCACTCTTATGGCAAGAGAAGAGAAAAAGCTTCAACCATTGAGTTCAAGTTGAGACTAACTACCTCTTAGTCTAATAATTTTTTTCGTTTAGTACTTTTCCTTGTTTAAATGTTAAGAAAAAGTCAAGTTTGAATATCCCTCTTTAGTTAAGAAATAAAAAGTCCAAATTATAGACGAATGACACATTATTTGGACTCGAATTTACAGATTAATATTCGTCAATTCTGACAAAAGTATTACTAATTATGATAAACTTCATGTGTTTATTAATTATTGTAACAAAAAGTATCCATGAGTAATGAAAAAGTAGAAAATTAGTCAAACTTTTGTTCACCTTTATGATGGTTACAATTTTGGTGGACCCCTCAGTGTCTAACACTCGATTAATTCTATCACAAAACATAAATGTATTATCTCAACCAACCTAACTAATTCCAATTACCAAAAAAACCCTCACAAAAGATCAAAGATTTACATGCAATAACTTCACGTTCAGCCCCCAACTCTTGAATGCTAAAAGGCTGAAAGCAGAGCAGTTCAACACTCACATGCATCGTCCCAAAGCCACACTCACCGCCTCATCAACCTTTCACAAGATTTCTGCTTAAACCCCTACTTTTCTTTATCTCCTCATAACCCATCAATCCCCTCCAACAAAACCCACTTCCCAGAATTCAGAAAAACCCAATTCAGTTCATCAACATCTCTGCTTTTTTTCTTCTCCAATGTCGACTTCTTCTTCTCACCAAGAAAACCCAGAACCCAAGAAAGTCCAATTCCCATTGGACTCAACTGCGTACCAAATCCTCGATGAAATTGGCTTCGGCGTCAGCGCTGTTGTTTACAAAGCCATCTGTTTGCCAATGAACAACACAATCGTGGCAATCAAGTCCATCGATCTCGATCAATCCCGGGCCGATTTCGACCGCATTCGACGTGAAACCAAGACGCTCTCTCTTCTTTCACACCCCAATATCCTCAGTGCCCATTGTTCTTTCACTGTGGACCGTCATCTTTGGGTCGTCATGCCGTTCATGTCCGCCGGGTCTCTCCAATCCATAATGTCCTCTGCTTTCCCCGACGGCCTACCGGAAACCTGCATTGCCATCGTCCTCAGGGAGACATTGAAAGCCATGTCGTATCTTCATGACCAAGGGCACCTCCACAGAGACATCAAGGCAGGTAATATCTTGATTGACTTCAATGGGTCGGTTAAAGTTGCAGACTTCGGGGTTTCTGCTTCTGTTTATGAGGCCAATTCGAGTGGAGAGTCTTCGACTCGGTTAAACGACGTTGCTGGGACGCCGTATTGGATGGCGCCTGAGGTGATACACTCGCATAACGGCTACGGATGCAAGGCGGATGTATGGTCTTTTGGGATCACAGCTCTGGAATTGGCTCATGGGGGGCCTCCCCTGTCTAACTTGCCTCCTTCAAAGTCTCTGCTTTTGAAGATCACGAAGAGGTTTCGGTTTTCGGATTATGAAAATCTTCACGACAAGAATTACAAGAGCAAGAAGTTCTCTAAGGCCTTTAAGGACTTGGTGGGTTGTTGTCTTGATCAGGACCCGAACAAGAGACCCACTGCGGAGAGGTTGCTGAGGCACTCGTTTTTCAAGAATTGCAGGGGCTTGGATTTTCTGGTGAAGAATGTGCTTCTGGGTTTGCCTAGCGTTGAGGAAAGGTTCAAGAAAACCAGGGCTTTGGGAGGGTTGATGAAGGGGAAGGGTATTAATGCTGAGGATGAAGAGGATGAAGAGGATGAAGAGGAAGATGATGAAGGTAGCTCAGCGAGGCAGAGGGCTAAGCACAGAAGGATTAGTGGGTGGAATTTCAATGAGGATGAGTTTGATCTCGACCCTGTGTTCCCAGTTAGGCCTCTAGGCGATTCTGCTGTGAAAATGGTTTGGTTTGGTGGAGAAACCATCATCCAGGACAGGGGAGGTGAGTGGAGTGAGTCGAATCCGAGTTCACCAGGTCGGGTTGATGAGGAGGCTGAGAGTGAGAATGTGGGTGTGATGGAAACTGAGAGGGAAGCAATGGCGGTGGGTGAGCATAGTGAGAATGTGGGTGAGATAAGGGGATTGTTGGGCGGTGGTGGTGTTGATGAGGAAGCCCTGGTGGGTGCCCTGAGTGGATATGTGGTTGGTGATTTGGATAGGGAAGCAATAGTGGGTGGGCTGGTGGCTTTCATAGGGAGCTTGGATCAGCAGAGGCAGAATGTGATGACATTGTTGAGCGTGTTGAGAGGGGTGGAAGCTTGGGAGGTGAGCAGAGAGGAGCAGATGGGGCAAGTGATTGAGAGGCTGAGGGTGGAGTTGGAGAATGAGAGGGAGAGGAATTTCCAGTTGGAGATGGAATTGGAGTTTCTAAGGATTCAGATTTCTGGTGTACATAGCAGCACTGGGGCTGGTATTGATTGAGAAATGTCAGTTGAATTTTGAGGCAGGGCATGCATGCATATTTGCAAATTACAAGAGAGTTTTTGCTTTTTTATTAATGGTGAATTCTTTGCATGCTTTTATGTCTAGTTGTACTCATACAGAAGAATACAGATTCCTTTGTTGTACCCTTTTCATGAGTGATTGACCATTTCATCTATAGAAAGCTTTACATTTGTATCTGATTACATATGAAATGGAGTTTGCCATTTTGTAAGCATTTGTTTATATCTGTGCTCAGATTTTCTTTCCTTTTTCTGCATTATGAATCTATTTCATCCCAACTTGTTGTTAGTTTTAGGTGGATCAGTTAATAAAGAAGTTAAGATTGAAGACCATGGTATTCCAATGAAAGCAGATAGCTAACTTCAGGGGCCCTAATTTAGTTGAAAGATGTAAATTGACTTGTGTGTGTATCAGGGCCGGCCCTGGGTGATTGAAGGCCCAGGGCAAAACTCTAAGACTGTGCCCTTTATTCATAAATTATTATTTTTTAATCAAATAATTAATTGTGTGCTGCTATTTCCATCATCTTGTCCTATTTTCCCACCCACCATATCTTTAAAATTTTAAAGACAAGTTTATCTTTTTGTAAAATAACTTATAAGGACTTATGTAACTCATCTTAAGTGTAAATCCAGCATGGATGTTAACAATTTTAAAAAATTATTTTAGAATATTAAAAAAACATGAAAAACTTCATCACTTCCTTCCCAGGCTGCACCAAACAAGCCACCACCCAAACACCACTAGCCACCTAGCAACCACCATCTACCACAAGCCGAATAGCACCCACCCACACCCAGCTAGCTCTCAAGACACCTAATCCCCATCAAACCAAATTATCCATAACCCATTCTAAATAATTACCGACCCAATTTGACAAAACTCATTAACTAGTGTATTGCAATTTGCAAGTATGAGAATCGATTGAAATAGCCGTCCTCACCATTTGAGACAAAAACCAAAAGCCTGATAAGAAAATCCTTGTTTAGAGAAACCTAGGGAGGAGATGCATGCTTTGGGTGAGAGAGAGAGAGAGAGAGAGAGAGAGAGAGAATTCTTATGCCTGCCACCATT